ATCCGCCGACCCGCCTGCCTGCAAGGGGAAGGCGCTGGGGGAGTGTTCGTTTAGCGTTGGAGCGTGACTGTGGCAGCCTTCTCCCTTCCCTTTCGCCCTCGCCCGTTCAGCCCTGTACCTTACCAGCCTTCTTTCTTTCCCTTTTTTCTTGTTCTTCTTCGTTTATTTTCTTTCCTTTTCCTTTCTGCTGCCGGCGCGCTCCTTTGGTTGGTGCTCGCTGTGGACAAACGAGTGCGGCCTGGAAAAGCGCGGGAAGCGAAGCTTTTGTGGCTGGCCGCTCCCTCTGGACCGATAGCCTTACTGCATATTGGACTCAAACGCGACGTTAGGCACCCGGCCGCGGCGGAGCAGGCTGCCGGCGCACTCCTTTAGTTCGTGCTCGCTGCGGCGAAGCGAGTGCGGCCTCCAAGCGCGCTGGACGCGCGACCTGGGGACCGATAGCTTTCTACTTTCTGTATAGGATTCAAAAGTGACGTTCGGCACCCGGCCGCGGCGGAGCAGCCGCCCTTGGCAAGGCAAACTGTGACAGACGCAGGCGCACATGGGCATGGATAGGCCGTGGATTGCACCCGGCCCCTCTCGCATGCTGAGAGCGGGTGTGATGCCACTACACCAACTGCCCCTGAGCTGAGGAGGCCGAGAGGGCTCAACTACCTGCTGGGCACAGCTTTCAGCGCTGAAGCTCTGTCACGGCCAGCCCGTTCGGCCTGTTTTCTTCCTATCTGCTGCCGGCGCACTCCTTTGGTTGGTGCTCGCTGTGGGCAAACGAGTGCGGCCTGGAAAAGCGCTCAAGCACCTGCAGGGCACAGTTTTCAGCGCTGAAGCTCTGTCACGGCCCGCCCGTCCGCCCTTTTTTCTTCCTTTCTGCTGCCGGCGCGCTCCTTTGGTTGGTGCTCGCTGTGGGCAAACGAGTGCGGGCCGCCCGTTCGGCCTCTTTTCTTCCTTTCTGCTGCCGGCCCACTCCTTTGGTTTCTTTCCTTTTCCTTTCTGCTGCCGGCGCACTCCTTTGGTTGGTGCTGGCTGTGGACAAACGAGTGCGGCCTGGAAAAGCGCGGGAAGCGACGCTTTTGTGGCTGACCGACTCGCAGGATCCCCGAGTGGAGGGGTCGGCGGCACTGGGCAGCAGCCCTTATTATGCACATGTTGGCACGTGTCCACTCAAAGCATCGCCAACCAGCCGCTGTGGGTTGTGGCAACTCAAGGTACACTAGACAAAACACTAGCTATCAACACGATATCCTTTGCCCCAGCCGTCAGTTCAGCATCCATCACTTTATGCTCCTTTTACTGGTTCCCAGCAAACAAACAAGACACAAAGCATCACAGCCCCCAGCGCGTTGCTACAACGCAATGAATCTGCCACATGCCGGCATCTCCTGGCTCGCCGACTCCGCACTAGCTGCTTGGCGCTTGCTTTGGCTTGCATCAGCTAGCCCA